CACAGACAAATTCTATAAAGGAACCACACTTGAGATGTGACATCCTTAAACAATTAGTACCTGAGCAAAAGTTCTTAACACTAATTAAACCCAGTCCACATGTAAATTCAACAAGTATCTTATTATATCCTATTTGTAGGTCACTTGATTACCTCTTACTTATTACTCATTGTTAACTGCATGAAAGACTAGTTACGTTGGAAATGAAGCACAGAACCTGTACGTTGTAAAGATTACATTCTATTAAGTGTAAGTATCCTCTGGGGTTGCTATTACACACCTGTGCGGCTTTGACAACTTGCAGATTTGGAACTCCCTCAATACTAAGATGTTTTGGGGCATTGTCATCCTTCTTAGCCACCATGACTCCCTCTTTGAAGAGGTACTCGTAGATGGCTATCCGATTTTTCTTGGGAATCAACATCCTAAAAACGAACACATGGCGAGAGTGATTTTTCGACTCATAAAATATAGAAATCACCGCAATAGTGATTGCCGAATGTTTTGCTTCATGGCTACTGTTTCACAGGAAAGCAAGCATCACAATCGTATCGCGTTGATACCATTTATTTACGATCTTTCTTCACTCATTTCCTTTGGTCTTTCTGAAAAAATGAAAACAACTATCAGTTGTCTGGTATTTTTGCTTTATCATTTTTTCAAAAGATTGTAGAATGACCGAGCGATGGTTTAGAAATTCGGAGGATTGTATGAACATTACTCACTTAAATTCTTCAAGATGGCGACCGCAGCAAAAGAGAACGGAAAAGGCATGCCTGACGTCTGATATACTTCGTAACCAGGCCTTATTTTTGAAACGCAAAGAGCTGGGCTGGTGAAAAGAGAGACCTGGATTTGTTCAGTAGATGTCCTTGCAGGTGATGATCTCAAAATTATCGACAATTTAGAGTCATCAAAATGGAAAAACAACATATAAAATTTAGAGACGAACTGCAATTACTATTCTGAAAGCCCACTTGGTTTTATAAAGTAACTGAGATACTACGTGTGCTCTCATTGGTCGAGAGGTGTGTTTAGATGAGACTATGTAAACAGGGCTGTGATGTTTTAGATTCGCACGTTTCAGTTTTGAGAAACATTTTATAAAAGCAATAGAGTAAGTAAGTAAGTAAGTAAGTAAGTAAGTAAGTAAGTAAGTAAGTAAGTAAGACTCTATTCTACGAGGGTAACANCCGTGGCAACACCGTGATTTTAAGTCCAAAACTACGTCACCAAAGCTTTGTCTTCAACCTTTTTGTAGCCAATTTCTTCGATAGCTAGATTTTATATTTCTGTTACGTTCGTAGAGGGGAAATGTATGTATGTAAGTAAGTAAGTAAGTAAGTAAGTAAGTAAGTAAGTAAGTAAGTAAGTAAGTAAGACTTTATTTCATGAGGGTAACATTTGACAGTAATAAAACTGATAACCTAATGGCCCTCAAAAATTAAAATTTGAAAAAGAAAGAAATAGTAACAATCGTAACAATATTAAAAATAATTAAAATAAAATAATTAAGCCTATATGCATCGTAAAATATTTATAAAATATGATTATTTACAAATTTTTTTAAAAAAAATTACAGGAATAGTTTGCTAAGAATTTGATTACCTAAAATTACTTTAAAAAGGGAACGCTTAAAATTGTATCAATAAAGTGTGAAAACATGTGCACACGTACGCCCGGTGACCTCAACCGAAATCCAAGGACTGCACTAACCATTATGCCACAGAGCATCCTCAAAGCAAAACCGCCGGTTAACGTTCATTTTACAAATGCAATTCAAGGATCTGCTTTGCTTGTAGGTTTACTTCCAGTTCCATCCAGCTACCTCACCGATTTCTCAAATGTTTTTGTGTCTGCGACGGCAACCAACTTCTACGATCAGTGTTTTCCAAGTGGGCTTGTTAACTTAGGATTCGAAGCACAAAACTGTACTTTGGACTGTTCTTTAGTGTTTCCCACACAATCAGATATTCTCGAAGCGTCAACAGTCACCTTACTTGATAAACTATTTCTCTCATCTGTCTCGCCCGACTCTCGATTTTCGACTGTCGAATCACAATGAGAGAAAATGATCAGGAAATACTCGTAGTCTGCCCGTTTATTAATTTTAATTCACTATTTTACCTTTTATTACCGTGTGTATCGTCGCATCATATCACATCAGCGCTCAGGTTTGTTTGTGTGCGTGTGGCACCGGCGCATGTGTGTGGTAAGCGCGCGTCTGGCACTTGCGCGCGCTCGTGTGTGTGTGTGTACAAGATTAAAATAATATGTAAAGAGAAAAATGGTACATTTCATGTTTACTACCCTCCTGCCATGGTATGTTGCTCCTATGTATTGTATGTACTCGTATGTACTCGTATGTTATTCGTATGTTACTCGTATGTCACACGTATGTACTCGCATGGTACTCGCATGTACTCGTATGTTACTCGTATGATACTCGTGTGGACTCGTATGTTACTCGTATGTACTCGTATGTTACTCGTATGTACTCGTGTGGTGTTTTAAATTAGTCACGATCCTTTTATCTTGACAACAACCCGGCATACGTATTAAATGTCGCATCCAGTCGTTGTGTTTACGTCACGTTACGTATATTTATTTGTATGCACTCTACTTTGCGACTACGTGTCCTTAAACAAGTTGTGTTACTTTAGGGGTGGCGAATGGTCCTTCAAAAGCTCTGGGTCTCGTAAAATTTTAGTCGAATTTCACGGGTCTCGCGGTCTCGTTTTTTAGCGGTTATGTGCGTCTCGCAGTCTCAATTTTTTTAAGAAGCTGTTTCGGAGTCTCGATTTTTCGCAAGGCTAAGGGTCTTGAAGTCCCAATTCGTTCCTTTATCTGTTTTTGTAAATGACGTCTTCTCTTCACTTGATATGGAATTTCAATGAAGCAACTTACACATTTTCCGAGAAAAAGTTCTCCCACCTGTCTTAATTCCAGAAAAAGGTACAAAACCTTCCGCAACGTCTGCCTTGGCGCCAGAAAAAAAGTCATTTTTCTCTAGGATATCATAAGGTAGCGTGTTATAATGGAATTTCCAGGTCCAGTCAGTTCCAACAAGATGGCTTAAGGCTGTACACGCTCAATCTACCTCTCAACTAAATCTGGGGCTCGAATTTTAAGAGTCTGAACGTCTCGCGCTCGCACTCAAAACAGTTTGAAGTCTCGGTCTCGCAATCTAAATAGTCAATGAAAATGACTCGGGCTCGCAAAGAAAAACGCTTGTCTCGCCGTCTCGCAAAGTCTCGCATTTACCATTCGCCACCCCTTACTTTGATAAATGTTTTCAGACAGATTATGTGTATTCAGACAAAAACGANTCGGGCTCGCAAAGAAAAACGCTTGTCTCGCCGTCTCGCAAAGTCTCGCATTTACCATTCGCCACCCCTTACTTTGATAAATGTTTTCAGACAGATTATGTGTATTCAGACAAAAACGAAATTGAAATACAGACTTGCGAGCATTTTGCTGTGATCAGTTTCAGTGACATCTGATCAACGAGCTTAAACGGAGTGCCTCAGGGTCACAATCTTAGGAATCAGTATCCAAGACAAAATGACAAAGGCTCTTAAAACAACGTTCCATGATTGGTTCTAATAAGCGAAAAGATTATCATAATAAACAGCCACGATTCCAAGAAGACCTAAAAAAAGAAAGTCACAAGACTTCATTGTCCCGAGTCGAGTTCGGCGAAAACCTTGCTTTATTCGCTTGTTTCTGAACACGACATGGATGTCAAAACGTTGCTCCATAATCTCCGTGAAGAAGTGTGCTGCTCGGTGTGTTCGGACATATTTACCGATCCAAAACAGCTGCCGTGCTTACACAGTTTCTGTCTGCACTGCTTGAAACAATGGCATAGGACGAGCCATGGCCGCGACACCATCAGATGCCCGAAATGTCAACTTGTTAGCAAAGTACCTGAAAGAGGTGATCTGAAGGATCTTCCAACCAGTTTTTATCTGAATGGCTTGATTGATGTGCTGGCAATAAAAGAGTGCCGAAGCAGCC